GTATAAGGCCTCCATCATTCAACATTGACTTACAACATGTCACTATTACACTCTAGAAGGATCTATATATCCCAAGTCCTTATTAGTGTCGTATGTAATTTTTTCTCAACTATTTAAGTAACTCTCAAGAACCTCGAACAAAAATACACTTTTATTAACATTCAGTGCAAATCTCAGTAATCAAACTTTTGGAAAACTATTTGCACAACGGAAGCATACCAAAATCATACAACTTACATGAATAGTAGACAACACATGGTTTATGCTAGAACAAGTACAATCATGTTAGAGCACATAAACTTTCTGAAATTTAATTCAAGAATTACCTCTTGAAGTGTGAGCATCACCTTCAAGCGAATCCACAAGCTAGTCGACAAGCTGGACCACAGTTCTGCGGTCTTCTACAGTGATCCCAAGTTCACTTCTGAACTCTCTCGATACTTGGGTGGGCAAGTATCTTATAGAAAACCTATCTTTTTTCAAGGGTTAGAAGAATCCCTATTTATAGAGATTTCTTCCTAGTCCAAGGAAGAGAAGAAACACACAATCTTTTCTTAGAATATAAAAAGACATGTACTTCTTCCTTTCCTTAAAATAGAAAAAGACATGTACTTCTCCCTTTCCTTAGAATAGAGAAAGACGCATACTTCTCCCTTTCCTTAGCATAAAGAAAGACACATACATCTCTCTTTTCCCCTTAGAATAGATTGAGTTCTAGTTAAATATGGGGACGATAGGGACCACAAAATTAATTAATGAGGCTTCCTATTATGGAAATAATCCTAAATAATTAATTTGAATTATTCTTACCATAATAAATTACAAATCATTCCACTCGAAATTCGTAATTGCACTCCTATATTTATATTTCGAAATTCCCCATTAAACACATATGTAATTCCCCATGTTAAGATTAAAGATACTAATCAATAAATTAAATTACTGACAAATTTAACAAATTTAACAAATTTAATTCAATGATCAATTTCCTTTAGAGAACTGCTTAACTTATTTCATGTGTCGGATTCATAATCCACTTGCAAGGTTTGATACGATGAAACCTTATAAGCTTCTCAAAAAGGCATATCATCAATCTCTATATCGAGACATGGATTCCGTCAACTAACTTATTATTTCACCAATATATATTATCATCATCCAATCTACCAGGCATATTGACCCATCTTCGAATCTCACCTTTTAATAAATCAAAACGATAATTAACATATACGGATCATAATAGTTCTATCAGGATTAAGAATATAAGTACATTTAATAGTTTAGAAAATATGTTTTTGTCAGTTAGTCTAAAGAAACTATCTCTACTCGGTCTCGTTCAATACATACAAAATGCACTAGCACAAGAAGTTGGAACTATACCATTTCCATAATCAAGATAAACTACATATAATCTTGTGCTACAATCGTACCGATGGCATGTCCAATTCTCATCTTAGATTGTGAACAATAAACTTTACACTTATATGAACCGATGATTTAATCTTCTGTGTATAAGCTTAAACTCTATACACTAAATCATTTACTATATAAGTACACAAACACCATAAACGACTATATGATCTATTAAAAATGAATAAATAATTATTCTATAATAAATACTATACCTAAACACATGATTATTAGTATATATTCCAACACAAACCACCTAAAGAAAAAGTAGTATACCATTTGATTTCACATTCTCTTATTATCTCTTAGAGGATCAGTATTTCTACAAAAACATAAAGGCAATTAGGGAATCATAATGATAATACTTCAATTTATTGATCGCAAATATAGTTCAATATTAGAATTAGGCAAAGATATTTGTTCAATCAAATGAGCCAAGTATAAAGTACTATTCACATTACTTTCGGTACAATCGGTAATTACAATGTTTGGATACTGCTTGTTCACTAATAACGTATTTCATGGTTTTAAATTTAGGAATACAATACAAATAAAGATATAGAACAAACTTTAAAAAGGGAGTGCAATCAATAATTAATTGCATTAATGTTGCCATCTATCTGCATGCAACAAAATCGCCTCTTAGCTGCGATAAATATGACTAAACCCTTTATTGGAGAGTGCTAATTATCTTTAAAAAATATATTTAGTAACAATTAAAATATTCTCGCTAATTAATTATCATTGAAGATCAAAAAGTAGTGATGCCTATCTTTTTGCCTTAAATTTTGATCTTCTCATATCCGATCCAACCTGTCTGTTTCCCACTCCTAATCTAACCTATGAAGTAGTGATGGATGAAGAAAATGGAAGAACAAGATTCAAATTCTAACAGAGACAAACTGTTATAAAATTGTCAATAAGACCACAATGGAAGGTGTTGAAAATACAATCATCATCATCATATTTCTTAAAGATGCACCATAAAAAATTGTTAGACGTAAAATATTTCTAGCTAGCCGACGTCACTTATATTCACATATAATTAATCAAACGGTAAAGTAAATTGAATATCATTATAGTTTTACCTCTAAATTTAATTGTTCAAAAAGTATCTAATTATCTTATGCTCAACAATGAAGTCGGTCTACTAAGCTCACCATTCATCAGTTTAAACTTGCATTTTCCCCTTCAAATCTACTCTAACTAATTTGTATTATTTCAAAATATTTATACAATAACATGCATGGGGTACACGTGCCTAGAAACTAGTTAACTAATGAAAGTGTGTGTTCTCTCTAATAACCCGCACTTGAGTGGGTTTGTTAAGAATACAATTAATTAATAAAAGTGTCTACGATTTCAATGGTTTTAAACTATAATGTTTGATTTGTATATTCAAGCATGTTTTTTCTCTTAGCATACTTCAGAATGCATGATGCAAACCTGTTAGCAGTTTTGGATTAACTTATTTGCCACAAATATGTCTAGTTTTTGGCATCTGGTATTGTTGCAGAGTGGCTCCCTATCGACAAGCTTTAAAACCTTGAACATTCTCCATTTGTGTGACTTGGATCTTAATAACAAAGAGCAAATGTGTTCCCTTGTATGCTTGCTTACAAGTTGTCCAAATCTGAGTGAGTTGTGTACTGTGCTGAGTTATTGAATTCATAATTATTATTATTCCTGAGCTGTGTGTTGGGTTTAATTAGGATCTTTTTTCTCTTCCTATGTGGATAAATAAAAGTATTATTAGGACCAGTCCACTTTAGCCCATAACCCCAATATTATGTGGCATATCTAAGGCTTATTTGGTCTTATTTTCAGAAACACAAGAGAGAAACATCAAGAGAGTTTCATTTTAGAGATAGAGAGAAAAAGAGAAAAATCCCATTTTTGCTTCTGGAAAATTTCTGCTCAGGCAGTCCACTTCAGACAGAGTTTTCCACTTCTTTAACCGTTGGATTGTGCTCAAATTTGAACTGGGAGTTCTCAGCATTTGGTTCTTGCAATTCAATGGTGGAAATCGGATTTGGAGGTCTGTAGCTTCTGATTTTGGGGCGTGAACAGTAGCTCGTTTTTGGATGAAATCTCTCATCTAATTCTCTAGTTTTGGTGCAATCTTGTTTTGTTGTTGCTCGTTGTTTGGCGCTTGTTTTGTGGCCAATTTTGGAGATCAATTTTGTAACTCTTGGTGTTCATAGTGGAGCTTTTGGTCCTGTGATTTTTTACTCTTCACATCGAAGGGTTTTCCACGTAAATCTTTGTCTTGTGTGATTGGTTTATTCTTGTCTTATTGCTTTAGTTTGGTTAATATACTTGATGTCCATTCTTCATATTTCTTTCTTCTCTTGGTTCAAATTGAAAGGGAAAGTTAGACTTGGGTATTATTCCGTTGTTATCTTGTTGGACATTTTTGTTAGTGCCTTGCCTTTCCCAACACTGTGTGCTCAAACTATGTGTTACTAATCTATACTGTATTATATATGTTTTGTTCTTTTAGATTGATTTACGAGGAACAGTGGATTGAAAGTAAGTTAAAACAACTTAATAAGTTTGAAATTACGAAGAACAGTGGATTGAAAGTATGTTAAACAACTTAATAAGTTTGAAATTTTGTGCTTAAGACAATTCCAGGGTATAGAGGAGTTGATGAAACGAAAGCCTCGAGGATTTACCAGTGGTTGATGTGCTTGACGATTCTGCCTGGATCACTTCTTAATAAACCACAAGTAATATGTGAACAACTGGAAATAGTTGCTGTAAAAGATTAGAATCAGGACATATCCCCCTTCTGTTTTCTTCACATCTCATCATATTAATTAAGTACCTTCACCTTCTATCTGTTGTAGTGACTATTACAATGATATATATATATATATATATATACACACACACACAATTGAGGTGTGTGACGGGATGATTGAGATCTTTTCACCCTTAATAAGACGTTTTGAGTTGGAGACACGAGAATGAAGAACTTTTTGGTAGGGAGTGTTTTACCCTCTCAGTGCAACAAAAGTAAACCAAAGAACAGAAATTGAAGAAAAGCCTAAACAATAATAGGCTCAAGGTTAGGATACACCTTTACTGGTCAAATATGTTATACACACCTCAAGCTTTCAAGATTTTCCGTTTGTTTTCGTGATTTGTTCAACAATTGTACAACATACAATTCATTTTCCATACATTTTGACTGTAGGATGTGTTTGGTATGAAGGAAAATGCTTTTATAAATAAATAAACAATTTTCTTGTTTATTTTCTAGTGTTCGGTAAGTGAGCTAAAATATTCTCCCAGACATAATTGCGTGTAATTTAGGAAAATACTACAGGGGTGGAGATGGGGTGGGGAGGGTACCGTTTTGGGGATGCTGGGAGTGGAAGGAAACAATGAGCTTCGTATGACAATTATGAAACTTGTTTTCTCTTTTCCCACTAGCGAAGTAATTTTCTTGATTTTTAAGTAACTTGTTTTCCTCAAGAAAACCAAAAAATGTTTCCTCTCCTCCTTATCAAACACACTTGTGTAGTGCTAACATTTATTTTACAATTGGACACCCATAAACAGCATGGAATCATTGGTACAAAAGATGGTTAACAGATTTTATCTGATTGTTAATGTTCAATATCCAAGATTCAAGCTTAATAATATCAAAAGGAATGAAACTGACATATCCTGACTTGCTTCTACAAATGACGAGTCGCGCAAGCTAGGGAAGTGAAATCTATTAGAATAGAAAATAGTGCAACTCGATCAGTATAAGAATAAAGCGAGGTAAGTCATTGGCACCAGAAAAGTTGGGTTAATAACTACATAGACATACCTACCACAGGTAAATCAATGTTCTTAGCTGATCCAATCATTTTACGCCAAACTCCTTATTCTGGCTATGGAATTAAGCACGTGTTCGTGTCAACTTAAACTAGGACTTCTCTTCATCTGATTGAGGACATGCTGCAGGCCCTGGGGCAGCTTCAACATCAACGAAGAACTCCTCAACTAAAACAAAGCCAAACCAAAAGCATAAGAATGATTATTTTATACTCTAAGAAAAGCATACAAAGTTTAGCTAGATCGAGTCATGTCATCTTTTAACAATGGGAAATGTTCATGCCCAAGAAACTTATTCATGATCCTCAGACAGAACTTTTCTAGACATGCCTTGTTTCCGGGTAATAACATTGTTTCTTGTAATAAATGTCCATACCTTCGTTGAGAGTGTAAATTTAATATGCAAATGCAAAAACTATTTTTTTTTTAAGGCCATGGAGCAATCATGTATCAGTATTTAAATGTTCATGACTAAACCATGTCACACAGGGCATAAAAGCAAGACTGCATTCACGAGGATCAGAGTCGAATTCCTTACAAGATTTCAAAGTAAAGAAAGGAATACCGACTATTAGAAGACTCCAGCCGTTAAATCTATCTAAATAATTTCAGAAAAAGCACATAGATGTAGGGTGTCTTTGGTACGAAGGAAAATGTTTTCCATGGAAAATGTTTTCTTGGAAAACAAGTTGATTTTTGACTTATTTTCTGGTGAGTAGAAAATATTTTCCGAAAAAAAAATTTAGTATTTGATTTATGAATGATTTTTTTTTTTTGAGAAATATCTTTTATTTTTACTAGGGTAGAAAATAATTTTTGAAATTGAAAATATTTTTTAAAAATAAACTTAAATTTTTTTGGGGGTGGGGTGGGGGGTGGTAGGGGGTGGGTTGAGGGTAGGGGTGAAAAATTGAAATTTTGAAGTTGAAAATATTTTTTAAAAACAAACTTAAATTTTTTTTGGGGGATGGGGGCTGGTAGGGGGTGGGTCGGGGGGGTCGAGGGTTGGGGTGAAAAAATAAAATTTTGAAGTTGAAGTATTTTTTAAAAACAAACTTAAATTTTTTTTTTGGGGAGGTGCTGGTAGGGTGTTGGGGGGTGGGTAGGGGGTGAAAAAAATGAAATTTTGAAATTGAAAATATTTTTGAAAAACAAACTTAAAATTATTTTTGGGGGTGGTGGTGGGGGGGCTGGTAGAGGGGTCGAGGGTAGGGGTGAAAAAATGAAATTTTGAAATTGAAAATATTTTTTCAAAACAAACTTAAATTATTTTTTTTGGGGTAGGGATGGCGAGTAGGGGGTGGGTGGGTTGCGGGGGGATTTTGAAATTGAAAATATTTTTGAAAAACAAACTTAAAATTATTTTTGGGGGTGGTGGGGGGGGGGGGCTGGTAGAGGGGTCGAGGGTAGGGGTGAAAAAATGAAATTTTGAAATTGAAAATATTTTTTCAAAACAAACTTAAATTATTTTTTTTGGGGTAGGGATGGCGAGTAGGGGGTGGGTGGGTTGCGGGGGGATTTTGAAATTGAAAATATTTTTGAAAAACAAACTTAAAATTATTTTTGGGGGTGGGGGGGGGGGGGGGGGGCTGGTAGGGGGGTCGAGGGTAGGGATGAAAAAATGAAATTTTGAAATTGAAAATATTTTTTAAAAACAAACTTAAATTATTTTTTTTGGGGTAGGGGTGGCGAGTAGGGAGTGGGTGGGTTGCGGGGGGGATCGAGTGTAGGGGTGAAAAATTAAAATTTTGAAATTGAAAATATTTTTTAAAAACAAACTCAATTTATTTATTTTTTGGAGGGGGGGGGGGGGAAGGCCAGGGAGGGGGCGTGGGTGATCGAGGATCGGGATGAAAAATAAAAAATTAAAGTTGAAAATATTTTTTAAAAACAATAAAAAAATTGATAGGGGGGGTAAAAAATAAAAAATTGAAATTAGAAATATTTTTTAAAAATAATTTTTAATATTTTTTGGGAGGGGGTGGGGTAGGGGTAGGGGTGAGGGTGGGTAAAAAAATTGAATTTAAAAATAAACTTTAAATTATTATTTTTTTAGGGGGTTGGTTGGGAGGCTGGTTTGAGGATAGGGACAAAATAAATTGATTTTTTCAACAAAAAAATAATTGTAGTTTGAAGTTGGAAGAGAGTTTTGAAAAATGTTTTCCTTAAGTTTTGAAGGGAAGTCATTTTCCTTAAATTTGAGGAAAATGAGTTGATTTGAAAAATATTTTCTAAAACATTTAACCCAACCAAACATGAGAAGATTGAAAAACATTTTCCGGAAAATGTTTTCCTTCATACCAAACGCACCCGTAGATATACTTAAAGCTAATGCTTTTTTGAACTTCTCAATCTGTTTCTGATTCAAAGCATAAGACTACATGGGCAAGAAAGTAGTAATTCTCACCTATATCTTCTTGTTCTGGAGAATCAAGCAGAATATCTGAATCGGAAGGCAAAAATGGGGAACCAGGGTAGTTTCCTAGAGATCCTAAATCTGCAATTAGTATTGGAGCAAAAACCTCCGTCAGATTTTGCTTTCCAGGAGTCGTACTATTTATAAAGTTTTTGAATTATGTATGAGGAAAATTACCTCCCAAGTTTGACAAGTCTGCTGTTAGATCCGAAAGACTGAAATCCCAAGGAATCTGATCCAAGGATCTCAGCAAATCTCTAGAATTACCAACACCATTATCTGGTGGAAGTTGCAATCCTACTGAACTTGCTACATCAGATGGGAACGAAGAGTCAAGCACTGATGTGTCAATTCCCATCCCTGAAATCTCCGAAGCGGTGAAGGGGAAGTGGCCACTGGAAGCTACTGATGCAGGGCTTACAGGCATATCAGACATGGCATTGCTAGGTGGAACTGCTGGTGCTACATCGGATGCACTCGTTTCTACCACCATACTGTCAACAAATAGGAAAATGTAAAGTGACATTTGCCATACCATTTCTTTTAAATATCTACTATAGAAATAGCTTTTCATCATTTTAAGCCCATAAACATATTTGACCTTGTATATATAGTGTAATTTTTGGACGAATGGGGTTTAGATGAACCCCTTGAGGCACCCTAGCACCATCCCTGAGGTATAAAAACAAAAGACAAACACGAGGGACTGAGCAGAAAAGTAATCTCTTTCACCAACCTCAGTGCTACTTAAACAACGAGAAATGGCGAGAGCTCTCACCAATTCTATGAAGCATGAAATATATATACTTGTCACGGTGTAAAGTTAAATTCAAGATCTTTGCAAGTATAATATGGTGAGTATATAAGATAAACATGAATCCTAATAGGGAAAACACGTCGAATTGGGAAGTGTTTATGGATTTTCAGAGTTCTAGTCTCACATTTCAAAGTTTAAAAGGGAGTTTTAAGCCTATAAAAAATGAATTCTCACTCATTTCCAGAGCTCATTTGCATTGGATGATAGTTGCTTGGTGCAGGCACACCATTAACCACATGGCAACTGGACATGCCCATCGGATCAAAATGAGGTTGACCTGTAGCCGGATGCGGAGGTTGTTGTAGGACGGGGTATCCCATGGGTAAGTTGTTGACTGCACTGAAAACAAGAGGCGATCAACAATAATGACAATAAAGTATACAAGAATATTGTTCAATAGCTCTGTAGATAACACAAAGTTCCTGTTCTCTTAAAGTATCTTAAGTCCACTTCGAAAGGATGCGATAGTTTAACGTTGTTCCAGAAATGAAGAAGGATGAAAGGGAAGGAGTACAATAACTTCTATTGTATTAACTCATTATGCTTCCTCTCATGGGATGCCCCCATTTAGTTCTCCAAGAAAGCAGTATTAATCCAAATTAAGTCATAAAAGCGAAGACAAAAAAGAATATGAAATTGAATGAAATGATATAACGGTAAATAAAATTACCTTGCATGGTATTTATCCCATTCTGCATCGGAGTCAATGGAACCTTCGGAGGCACAGGATATTTCATCAGATGATATTGGTGCTCAAGCAAATGATTGAACAAGATGATTTGTTTCTTCAGTTTAAGCCTAATGTAGTAGGCCCGAAAGAAATCTGCATTTTCCTCTTCCAATTTTTGCCAAACTGTATTAAGTATGAAAAGGTTTAAGAGACTGAGAACTGACACACATTATAGCCAAAACCAAAGTAATGATAAATATGAGAAAACATATTTCAATTAAGCAGAAAATGCATAAACCATTACAATCACCAACAATTTCATTTTTGATATACATACCAAGAGCTGTAAATCCGGGATCTATCCTTGCGCGATTAAGAAGTGTTTTAACCACTTCATCCTTATTCATATACAGTTGTAAGCAACGTTCAATCAAGTTTTGGACCTACATCACCATTTGTGTCATAATAAAGTTTGAAGAACAAGGTGTGACAGAGAATGGAAACTTCCCCTACACACACACTTGTATAAAAGTATGTGTCGGAAAAAAGAACTATCTTACTAGCTCAATATCTTCACGTGAAACTTTCCGGTTGTCATTGCCTGATGCAGAAACTGAACCTGAATCTGCTACAGGTGTATCTGTTGTATTGTTCTGCTGGTCACTTTGGGCTTCATGAGAGGCCTGAGTTGAAGATTGTTTCTCAGTTGTGTTTTGTAGATCCTGAAGTTATTACAATGAACAATATAAGGGAAAAAAAAAGTTCCATATCTGAACAACAAGTTACAACTTACCAAAAGAATTTAATAGCAAAAATGAATATCTAAACATATCAGGTTTCAGAATTTTAGTCATATGCATACATTATTTGCTGGCTCTATAAGAAGAGAATGTTGATAAATAGTTAACTATTACAGGATAAGGAGGAACTACATGATTACAGAACGGAGATTACTCAACTTTATAAATAAGCCACAAGAGTAAGCAGCGAGTTAATTGAGTCATAACTTGCACTGAGAAACTTTTCGAATAAAATAGATAGCATTGCCAAAAAAATGAAATTCCATAAATCAAACCAGAGAAAGACATGAAGGATCTGAACACATCAAAAGGAGACCTAGTAATATATAAACACAAGTACCTGTGTGGTCTTCATTTTAGCTAACTGCAAGCACACTAAATATCTCCCTGAAGCTCCAATACGCCATGGCTATAACTTGTATTACTACTTTGAAGATCTCTCAATAAAGGAGAAGAAATCACCTGAGAATAAAATAGAAGAAAGATTCAACAGAATTACAAGTCCACAAACTGTGTAAAATAAGATCAAACTTCAGCATAAAATTTCAGGATAAGAAAAGCAAACATCATTTTTTAGTGCAAGGCACTCATATCTCTTTGGACCATGTAGTAAGATGAAATTGAAACAATATCTTTCCACTTCTGAGGAAAATAATTGATCTACTTTAATTAGTGAACTCCGTTTTTTGATAAAGTCAAGATTTTTGCACTGAATATCACACCAAGATCGTGTCGTCATGTTTCCAAGGATCCATCAACCCATCTATGCAAAAAAGAAGGTTCCTTTTTCAGCAAAAATATCAATGAAACAAAAAATCTGGTTGATTTTCTGTCATTTACACCCAAATTGGCCAAAATGCGCAAGAGGAGCTGCTCGACTTTCCATCTCTCCTCTTCCTAGCATCCATATTTTCCACCTACCAGCTGGTCAAATGATTTTCCATTGTTTGAGATGCTCATATTTAATACAATTCTATTACAAGGTAGTAATGTAGTTTTTTTTTAGAGGAAGTTAACTGTATTACAAAAACAGCATTAAAGAAGTGCAAAGTAATTGCAGGTTGAGCAAAAACCGAAATTCGAATACCTGTATTATCTAATAAGGATTTTAAGAAGCTAAGAATTGATTCTGCATCATTTACAAACTCCTCCTTAGACCAATAAGATGACAAAAGTATACAATTAAACTTGATCTGTTTGACTGTATTTGCCTTATCTTCAAAACATGTAGTGTTTCTTTCCCTCCACACTGTCCACCATATCCATGTTGAGATAGTCTTCCACCACTATGATTTCTTGTTCCTGTTCAGCCATTGTTCCAACAACTAGCAGTTGTGAGGTGTTACTTGGCATAACCCACTTTGCGATGAATAAACAAAAGGTTTATAGTTGGTTTGTACATCATCCCCACATAGTTGACATCTGCTACGTAGAAAGATGCCCCTTCATTGAAGATTTTGATGAGTCAGGCAAGCATTATTGACTACCAACCAAGAGAAGCAGGTCACATTATACAAGGTTCTAATGTAGTAACAGATGGTCCACATCCTTCCCATTCATCTAGCACATGTGACATCAACTTACTATAAACATCTCCTCTTCCTCAGATTATCTGACATTAGGTTAGGATCGCACATAGTATACAGTATAAAAAACCCACCTTTAGGTGTTTAGTATCCCACATTGGCTTCCACGTGGTCCTCTTATCACCTCCATTGAGCAGGTAGTTATAGTATGACTACATAAAAAACAGTTGCTGCTTACCCAGTTACATAATATTGTCAAGGAAATGGTATTTTGTTATTTTCCGGAACAACATATAGGCTATAGCACTATACATTTCTTCTGAAGGACACTATTCACTTCATCCCACTCCAGTCTTGAATAGATCTCTGAAAAAGATGCTTCCCCTCATGCTTGTCCTTCATCACTCCCAAGCATTTAAGGTTTCGCGGCATGTTTTTTACAAAAAAAAAAGTTGGGGAATTCCTCCTTCAAGGGTACCATACCTTCGACTGTGATTCTTAACTGTGAATAAAATGAATCCTGAGAACTCCTTCACTCCCCCCATGGTTCCCTCTCCACATGCATATGCGGCTATAACACTATCAAGGAAGCAACTAATACTCATTTAGTCTTTTATCTTTATTATGATAAAGTCGTAACACCATAACGTAATTGGATATCAGAAGAAGCCAGAACAATAAATGTGATGGAAGGGACATTGTGAAAAAGGAGACGACTCAGGGTAGAATATCCCCTATTTTGTGGTGACTAAGATCATTTAGCAACCCAAGCATGCTAGAGTTGAGAAATGCTTTGTCAACACTAAAATGTTACTGTTCTTGTATACAAGAACTAAAGCATTACTTCAACAGATGCCCAAAACTGAAAAAGGAGGATCTTTCATGAAGACGAAGTTCAAAATTTCTTTCCATCCGATAAGGAAATCAATTATCTATAAAAGAAGGTGCATAGGCATGAGGAAAATTTTCAAAGTGCATGATGAATTCTTCAATCTGTTATTCAACATAGTAGAGTTGGATGAGTATACTTGATAACTTTGCAACCTATCTATCCAGATGCTCTACATGATTTACAACTAATTTGTCTCCTATTAATGAAGTCCTAAACTAATTTCTCAACATGAGATGAGATTAGCATGGTTTATCGAATGCCAAACCAAAGATAATTTTCAGCTTCAATCTGGGAGCTCAAATGTGCAATTCTCTAAAGGTTCCCGCTGTCTTTACTTACAAGTTACATTCTGCCACGAATCTAAACGAATAAGCAGCAGCCATTAGATACAGATATGAGACCTCTCGGGCTCTGTAAGGCGATCAATTGCTGTGTCTTTAACTAACACCACAACAAGGACTACTGGCAGAACTAAACTGCTGAAAATGAAAAGGATTTAATTGAAAGAAGACTACCAAGAGATTGTCTTATTTAAATGAACAGAACGCTTACCAACAACAACATACCCAATGTAGTCCCACAAAGTGGGTCAGGAGAAGGTAGAGTGTACGCAGGCAGACCTTACCCCACAAACTTTAGCATCAGCAATACCATCAAAACAATGAGCCATGATAACAAAGAAGCCTTTTTTTTATTTTTTACAAGTAGAATACCATAACAAAGAAGTCTCGAAAAGCTCAAACAAGATTGACTTGCAAAAATGATCAAACTATCCACAAAGATTAAGTCTTCTCTACAAAAACCATCACTTTGAAAGAAAAATCACAGAAATTCTGCACTATGCTGAACAGCATAAAATACCCTTGCTGCAATATCCACATAAGAAATCAAGATAACCATCCCCATTTCAGAAAAGAAACCAGCAGAAGTTATGAACTAGTAAAGATCAGATATCCACATTGCAAGAGCCTAATGTATCACAATACATAGAAGCAGAAACTCTAAAAGATCTCCAGATAGTTGCAACAGATTACTACTGCAAAATCAAGATTGTAGTACTAAAATACTCCTCATGATTATCACCAAGTACAAATAACAAAATTTCCCAAATATACAAGAACCCCATCTGATAAATCTCCACACTAGCTCCAACCAGTGGAAAAGAAACACCAAAGATTGCATTTTTAAACTAAAATTAACCCAATTCTTGAAATAAAAAACCAAAAAAATGCAAATAAGAAAATACCCAAAAAACAAAAACAGCAAAAAAAAAAACCAAGCCTTTGTATTAAAGAGAAAAACAGCTAGAGAAAACGAAGACAAACCTGCAGTTCCCAGTAGCAAACAAGATGCAAATTTGAGCTTGCCAAACCAAAAAGAAAAAAGACAATTCTTGAAGTGGGAATAAAGTAGTTTAATTAGGAAAATTAAAAGAAATTAAAGTTGGAAATTTGGCCATAATAAAGAAGAAGAAGCAGAAGAGGAGGAGATTGGGACAGAGAAAAAAATGGTTTTTTTTTTGTTGGATGATTATTGGTCCTTTTCTGTTCAGTACGGTGTTGCTGTTACTGTAGCTGGCAAATGAAATAATGAGAAACTGGAAACTGCATATTACCGCCAAACCATAGTTTAACATAACTAATTATTTGAACTATTATATTTTATTGGAAAAATTACTCAACTATACATCATTTATTATCATATTTTCTTATTTTCCCTACTAGTTCAAAAAATATCAAAAATCCCTTCTTTTCCTTCCATCATTCCTTTTTCCGGATACATTAATCTGAAATTTCATACCCATGATGTTCCTTCCTTTTTTTCACGCCACAAATCTTTCCATAATTACATCAATTAATTTATTTTTGAATTTCAAATCTTTTCTATCTCCAATTAATGATTTCAAATTATTCAAGAGGTAGATTTGTTTCAATCACTTTAATTTCCAATTTTTTTTTATTTTTAATTTTTTCATCTTAAAAAATAAAAATAAAATTACCTCCGCCCCCTTCCCCCATTGAAATCTTATAAACCTATGCAATTTTAGTTAATCATATCGTCGTTGAAATTTTTTCTTGAAATTTTTTTTTTCTTTTAATGTATCTAATGTTGAAAAACGTTCAAAAAAAAAAGAAGAAAAAAGTTGGATTTGCCATTGCATGGTCATCACTATCAAAGATACAGATTTTTAATGTATCTCATTTATTTTGAGTCTTAAATTAGTCTATGTTAGTGTTATCATTAATCTGATACATCACTGCTACAAAACCTTTGTTTTATGCAATGTATCATGTTCATATTTAAGGTATTGATACATAACTCTAATGTTTTTGAATCTTCGATTAGTGTTTATCATGTTCAATATAAATGTACTTGATACATAAACTTTGTATTATGTATCACACACACAAAAAAGAAGCTAATTTGGAACAATTACATGTATAATGTATTTTTTAATTTTAAATTATAGTATTTCTCAAACAAAATAAGATACATAAATAATAATGTATCATGTACTGACTTTTTAGTTATGATACGTAAATTCGAATTTATACTAAATGTATTTGATACATAACAATTACCAAACAATAATGTATCGATCTCAAACCTAAAATCTTGTGTGCAACACTTTCTTATTTAATATATATAGCTAGTAGAAATACAACACTTATTAATTTTAATTGAAAGGATCTTCATGATGTATCTTCTCAAATTTTTTGATAATTTTGAATCAAAATTGAAAGGATCTTCAATGAATTAGGAGAATAATTTTGAAACTCAAAATTTTCAATAATTTTGAATCAAAATTGAAAGGATCTTCAATGAACTGGGAGAAAAATTTTGAATCTCAAAATTTTCGACAATCGTGAATCAAAAAATCGAAAGGATATTTGATGAACTTGAAGATTCACAAAAGAAATCGTTTGTCCAACAACAATTCCATCACTTTTGTATCCTTCATAACTCACCTCGCTAATCCAAAATTTCGACAAAAGCTTTTATGAAACAGAGAGAATGATGAACAAGAAGAAGAAATTTAATTTTTGATTGTTTTGGTTAGTTACACTATATGATTTAATTCTTGACAATAATTTGGAATGGAATAACCCAATTTATGGGATCTTAATTTGATTTTCAGTTTTTTTTTTTCCCCCCCTTAATTAGTGCAACAGATGGATACTATGAGGTCTTAATTTGATTTTTCAACTTTTTTTTTCCTTATTAAGTGCAACAGATTGATACATAATGTATCAACAATAATATATTCAGATCCTTAATTATGTATCCGAAATGACTAAAAAATATGGAATTTGTGTAATTAGAAAAATAATAGGGATAGAAGGTAATTTAGGTTTTACACTATGAGATTTATGAAAATTATACTTTTTTATTCTAATCATCCATGGTTGTGGTGGGAGGCTAGAAATCTATATATCCTTGAGACGGAAATAAAAAAATCTTAATAGTTTAGTTTCAGTTGGTTGATTATTTGAATTCTAATTCTTTGACTTGTAATCTTATCCTTTATTTTACTTCCTCTTACCCTAAAAAGGCAAACGTATCCTCAATTTTTCTACTTATTCTGTCCATTTTTACATGTCTATTATTTTAAAAACGGAAAAATAATTATTCAACAATAAAATCAAGAGTCTATCTATCTTATCATTATTATTTAAATACTCCCTTCTTTTTAAATTAATTGAATTATTGAGACATTTTTTATTTTTCAAATTAACTTAATTGTTCATACTTTTAGAATGTTCTTCCAAGTTTACCCTTCATTAGTTAGTATTGGAATTAGTTATTAATTAATGTTTAGTTATTTAAATCATAAATTTGACAATAATTAATAAGGGTAAAAATGGAAAGTTATGTCTAATTTATGTCTTAATCTTCTTTTCTTAGAGGGTGTGAAACACCTCAACAATTCAATTAATTTGAAATGGAGGGAGTACTATTCAATATCTAATACATTTTTCAGAACATTAAGTTTAATATTTTCAAAGTATAATGTAGCAATATTACCTCTATTATTTATTATTTATTTAGGTGTGTGTCAAGTCAATAGTGAAAAACTATTATTGGACAAAGAAAATATTTAAAATGGATATACTCCTCATTAATAAAATGATGTATATATATTTTTATCGTGTAATAAATATTACATATATCTCCTCAATGTCTAATAAATAAGGCATATTTTATCATTTCATTAACAAATATATATTTACTAAATGAAAGAAATATATATAAAAAAAAACCTAAAAACAGTTTTAATTTTATTTTTTTTAAATGTCACATTGCTTTAATAATTACCTCACCCAATATTTTACTCCCCAAAATCCGATCAAATTAAATATAATTCAACTCCTCTTTTATTTTAAATCTGATCCAAACCTATGTTATGACTGAGCATAACAATGATATTGAATTATTTTTTTCTTCATTTGGGTTTGGTCTAGAGAATTAAATACTTCTTTGTAAATTCTGTAAATATAGATTTGTTATTAAATAGAATATATATGTCTATATGTAACATTTATTAGTTGGCGTTGCCGCGTGGGTATGTATGCATCATTTTGCCAACGAGGTTTATAGAAACGTTTAGGCAATACAAAAAAGAAGTTGAAAATCAGTTGGATAAGAAGATAAAAATAATTAGAAGTGATAGAGGTGGAGAATATGAATCTCCTTTTTCAAAAATATGTTTGAAAAATGGAATCATCCATCAAACTAATACCCCATACTCACCTCAATGTAATGATATTATGGAAAAGAAAAATTAAACTTTGAAGAAAATAATGATTGTCTCACTTATAAGTTTGGGTTTACCACAAAACTTGTAGAGGAAAGCTATCCTTACAGCAAATCGAATACTCAACAAAGTGCCCCATATAAAAACACGGGCTATTCCATATGAGAAATGAAAAGAAAGAAAACTCAATTCGAAATATTTCAAAGTGTGAGGTGTCTATCCAAAGTCCAAGTTCTTATACCTAAAAAGGTCAAAATAGAACATAAAATTGTGGACTATGATTTCGTTGAATATGCCAAAAATAATAAGGCATATCAATTTTTGGTTCATAAATCTAAACATCCAAATATTCATGAAAATACGGTAATTGAATCAAATAGCACTGAGTTTCTTGAACACATCTATACAACCGTATAAAACTAGATTCTAGTTGTTTAAACGACCTCAGAAAGAACCAAAGAAGAATGTACCTAATAAAGAGAGTTCAAGGCATAACAAACGTCAAAGGACATCTACTCCCTTTTGATATTTGATTTTGTAACATTTCTTCTTGAAATTGAGCCTCAAACATTCAAGGAAGTTATGTTCTCTACGGATCCATCCTTTTGAAAATAGGCGGTCAATGATGAGACTGATTCAATCTTAAGTAATCACTTGGAAGCGGGTTGATCTTCCTCCGGAAAACAAACCTTGGATTTAAAATAGATTTTCAAAAGGAAATGAAAGTTGATGAAACTATTGACAAATACAAAGCAAGACTTGTCGTCAAATGCTTTAGACAGAAAGAAGGTTTTGATTATTTTGATACATACTCACCAGTAACTAGGATTACTTTCATTCAGATGTTAATTATCCTAGCTGTAGTATATGACCTTGAAATCCATCAAATGGATGTAAAAATAATTTTCTCAAATGGAGAATTGGAGGAAGAAATTTACATGGAATAACCTAAAGGTTTCTTGGTTCTTGATAAAAAAAAAGGTATGCAAACGTATTAAGTCACTTAACTAAGAAAGTATGCAGCGAGGCAAAGCCGATTGAGAATATGACTGTCGTCCCCTCGGCGCTTGGGAGGCATCCTATTTAATAAAGATTCAAAACAAGCACCCAAACAATGACAAACAAAGTTTGATAAAATTATGTTGACAAATAGATTTAAGATCAATGAATGTAATAAATGTGTTTACATTAAAAATACTCTGAATCGAGTGGTTATTGTATGCCTTTATGTGGATGATATGTTGATAATGAATAACGACACTAGTAACATAAATACTACTAAGTGTATGTTTGCTAGTAATTAGTTCGATATAAAAGATCTAGGAGTTGTCAATTTGATAGTGGGAATTATGATTCATAAAACTCCTCATGGTGTAGCATTGTCTCAATCTCATCATATTCGAAAGGTACTTAAAAAATTCAAGTACTTAAACCTAAAAAGTGTAAAGACATCAATGATGTGAATATTGATCTAGCTAAGAATTAATCTGAAAGTCTGTCTCAATTGGGTTATGCCCGATTATTGAGAAGTTTGATATACATCATGAATTATACACAACCAGACATAACTTGTGATATAAGTAAACTAAGTCGATACACAAGTAATTCCAACCAAAAACATTGGATGACAATGAAACAAGTTTTAGAGAAACTTAGATGACACTCAAAACTTTGTTTTACATTATAGCAAGTATCCAACAATCGTTGAAGAATATAGTGATGTAAATTGAATTACTGAATCAAAT